GAGGGGATGCCGACTCGGAGGCCGACTTTTCCATCGCGATCCCCGTGCACCGTTTGATGGATAGGGTCTTCTATCGCGCGACCTTGAACCCCTCCCCCCCCTCCTCCCTCAACAGGTGTCGATGCTCGAATCGATTTTCCTTTTTCCCATCCCGCGAAATTATTCCATTATACACGTACTACACCCAACGAATGAACCATTAACGCTTTTTCAACTTTTTTCCTTCTCTCGACCGCCGACCTCTTCTCGCATTCGCTTCATCTCCGAAAGAAAGGGGCAAAAAGGGAAAAGATTAATCGTCGAATGTAATCCGTTAAACGAGAAATGTGTCCTGTAATTAACTCTCCCTCTTTCCTCGTTGGGATCTTTCCTTTCTACTACGCAGAGTACAAATTAACCCTTTATAAACACCTTTAAGATCTAGCCTAAATCTCGAGAAAAACTTCCATTTCACCCTTCATATTTCTATTCTTTTACCAAAAAAAAAAAAAAAAAAAAAAAAAAAAAAAAAAAGAAAGAATCTTCAACGTCCTGTCCCATCTCCCTTAATCAATAAAAAATAGTTCGATCCTGGAAAACGAGTTAAACGGTAGAAGAAAGTTGGCCGATCCGTGGAAGAGATAGCGCGTCGTACCGGTATACGCGAAACGAAAGTGGAGAAAATAAATACGTAAAGAGAATGGAAAGGGTTAACGAACGCGGGTAATAAAGCGTGTGAACAGTAAATCGAAGACTCTCGTGGGAAACGGAGACGAGACGGTGTGCGCGCATTGGTCGAACGCGAAATCCGTGTCGCGATTTCCACGTATGCACGTTAGGCATGCGTAACGCGAGGAACACTATAAACGGTCGCGTGTTTCATTACACCGACGATACGCACGAAATTCGATTCTAATAGGAAACAAGAAAGCCGAGACCCCGCGACCACTCGTAATCCGACGTCCCGGCGCGTTTCAAATACCTAAATCACGAATAACGACGCGATTCCTCGTAAAACGGAGTGGCCTGGCCCCGACAGAGAAGATCGTGGCCGGGGACTTATCGCTAATTGCGATATTACCACGGTGGACAACGATCGTTTTTCGCGCGAGCCATCGAAACGGCAAACGATTTCACGCGTTCCTGGAATGCGTCGCATAAAATTCCACGACCCTGTTTATCCGCCCCTCCTCCGTCCATCCCTCTCCCGCCCTCGATCCGCAACCGTATCTTGCCGATCTAACCAGCCAACAGCCTGGATCCGCGAATTGAGACATTTTTATCTTCCCGGATAAAACTTTATTCCGTGAAAAATCTTAACGATCCTGGCGATCGGAATTTGGACGGCAATCGACGTAGGATTTTTTTCTTTTTTTTTTTTTCGTTCGAAAACCCCAAACTCGACCGATTTATTCCCCCCCCCCCCCCGTTCGAGGGGGTAATAAGAGGAATTAGAGGAGAATTCGCAAGGATTCGCGCGAACGGAAGGATCGATAAATTTCCAAACTTTTTCGATGCCGTGATCGAATCAAATAAGCGAGCGAGTAAGTAACGATTAGATCTGCGCGATAGATATTTTTCTCTCACGCTGCTATCCGAGAATGAGAAGAAAGGGAAAGAAAGAAATTCCCTCGAGTCCCTTCCGAGGTACTCGACTGGAGGTATCCCGGAACGATTACTCGGATTTCTCTTCCGAAAGGAGTGCCTCGTGTCTCGATTTTCCATCCCCCCTTCGGTTACGGGACGAGAAGGAACGATGATCCCTTTCCACCCCTCCGTCGTATCCCGTTTCTCGTCGACCCTTTTCCGGAAGAGGAACTGTGGAGGAAGGGCTGTAGTGAGAAAAGACTACAGCCCTAAAGGAGAGGAGACAGAGAGGGGGCTGTAACCAGGCAGGGTCACGGGGTGAATACCGTTTTACCGACTATTAACTCACTTTTACCCTGTTTTTTTTTTTTTTTTTTTTTTTTTTTTCTTATCCCGCGAGAGAAGTGGCGCGAGGGGAAAGGAGGAAGACGAGGGAGACGAGGGAGACGTGCGCAGCTACGTGTTTTTCTTCCCCCCTTCCGATCTTTCTCGCCTAATCTCCCTTTTTTTCTCTCTCGAGGTTTCCCCTCCCCTCCTCTTTTATTTTATTCCACCTTTTTTCTACCCATTTTTTTCTTCTTTTTCCCCCCTCATCCCGGATTCTTTTCCGGGCTACGTACGCGCGCGCGTGTGCAGGTAGTCGCAGCTACCTGCGAACTGGTGGAGTGGAGGAGATAGAGAGAGGAAAAAAAAAAGAAACGCGAATTTTTGGGGGCCACGGTCGATTTAACCCCTGAGAAAAATTGCGCGCGACCCTCGGCTACGTCGACCGGGGGTTAACCGATTTCTCTCGGGCCAACTTCGAAATCGAAGAGGCAGCTTTCTCGATCTAACCATTTAAAGGCTTAAGTATCTCGTAAAAATGGGTTCGGAGGATGGGCGAGTTTTTTTTTTTTTTTCTTTCACCCCTCCATTTTTCGCTTTCGTTCTTCGCAAGGGTGAAGACGATTCGAACGTCGTCGTCACGGTTCTTCGTTCCGCATTTCGAAATCTCTCGAAATCGTTGCTTCGATTCGTGTAATTACCACCTTCTCGAATTAATAATATCCATAATGTAGGGTGTTGGAGAGAGATGAAAACAAAAATTCAATTCCTCGACGAAGAGAGGAGGAGAAAAAAAATTCCAAAAATTTTTCAACGGACGCGCGTTAGAAGACTCGCGTTTTCGCTTGGAGAGAGGAATTTTTAATTTATGAATCTTCCCTCTTGACTCGTTAACTACGGCAATTACTCGGCCGGACGTTTCGATTTCACCCCCACCACCCCCGACCACTTCCCTCGTCCTTTTTCTCGCCACTTGATTTTTATCAATCGGCGGCCGGCCCGCTCCACGATGTGGAGCAAAGACGAAAGGGAGAACGGGAGAAGAAACACGGGATCCCCGCGGCGCAACCTCCGCCTCGGGTTCGGCCCTTAAAAATCGAGTCAATTTAAGGATCCGGCTCGGAGGATGCGAGCATAACGCCGCGATCCTCCCTCCCGAGCGGTATCCTCTCCCCCTCGTGCAAATCCATTTACCGTTGAAACGTGTACCGAAATCGTTTCAACCTCGTTTCTTTTTTTATCGCCCACACAACCGCAAACCTACCTTGCTTTTGTCTCTTCCTCCGTCCTTTTAAACGGCTTTCCTTTCAAAATATCGATCGAACCGAGAGAGTTATTTCGCTCGTTTCTTCGATTAAATTAAACGCTGTGAATGTGTCGTCGCCCCCTTTTTCTTACTTTTCGCTTTGCCAACTTCGTATAAAAAAAAAAGAGAGATTTTATCCACCGTCCAAGAATTTTCCCACAAATCTCGATCTGCGTAATCATTTATCATCGACCGATCCGTCTCGTTAAACGTTAATATTGGAATCGTCCCGTGGTAAAAGTATAGCGGTGTGGAGACGAAGCGTAAGGGGTTGGGTAATTTCGATCAGACGTCATCGGTCGTTGTTGGGTCAGAGGGGGTCCTCGAAGCCCTTTCCACGTTTTCGAATCTCTCTCTCTCTCTCTCTTTTTTTCTTCTTTTTAATCCACCTGGTTCCAAACTCTCTTCCTCGTTTCGCGGCCACGAGATCGAGTACTGCAGGTAGAAAGTCTGTTGGTTGAATTCCGAATGTTCTCATGGATCCTACACGGTGCGAATAAACCCCGAATGGAATCTACCTGAATCGCAGACTTCGCACCCGGGGATATTAAACGCTGCCCTTACTCCTTCCACCGGCTCAAATCCTCCGTGCGTTCGTTTGTCTTCCTCTTTGGGAAGAAAAGAAAAAAAAAAAAAAAAAAAAAAAAAAAAAGAAAGAAACGAGGAATCATCTTCAGCTGCACGATCGGCAGCAAGATTTGGATTCGGCTCTCGTTGGAGGCTGAAGATTTATGGAAAAATTATTGTTATTTTTTTCTTTTTTTTCAATCCACGAAGAGAGAAGTAAGAAAGAAAAATTAGATTGCTTTTCAATCAGACGAGAAGGGAAATCAATTTTGCAAAGAATGAATTCTTCTCTATTCGTAGTCATTTTCTCTTTAAGGATTTTCTGTAATGGAAATTCTGTAAGTTAGTTTACACCAGTGACTATTTCTTGGCCGACTATCCGACGTGGATGGAAAGCATCCAGACTGTGGTCAACCAGTGGTCGCTAATGCTCACTTTCTCTAAAACACTTCCTTATTATCAGTTGACCGTTGTGGACGGGTATCTATTGTATATATATATATATATATATATAGTTGTACCGAGAAAACGAATTACAATAAATAATAATAAATGGGATTAAGAGATAGGCCGGAAATAGAATTCTGAATTTTCAAAAATAAATAGATGCGTCGCACTGTATATATATAAATATCGTTTAAACGTAATTTGGATGGAAGGAGTATCTAGTAGAAGAAGGGTATGAATGAAAATTGGTGGTTTAGGGAATCGGCAGATGTACCTGCTCCCGCAGTCGATTGCGGCTTTTTCAGCGTCGAGACGTCTCAATTTCACGACTCTCGGCCTCGATCGGCAAAAAACTTCCCCTCGCTCGCTTTTTTACCTCCGTCCAAGTCGTCGCGTTTCCCAATTCGTCGACCCGTATTCCCGTTTTCGGCCAATCGAACGAACCGATCCCCACCCAGCTTTCCGAAATCTCGGAAAATCTAGCCCCTCCTGGCCAGTCTCTTCGAGGTGTCGGCGGAAGCAGGTCGAAGAGTCGAAAGCTTGAAAAACTTGGGAAGGAAAGAACGAGCAAACTGCTCGAACAATTCTTCGAAAAAAAGAAACAAAAAAAGAAAAAAAAAACGATCGTTCGATCGACAATTTACGCGTTTGAAAAAGTTTTACGCGAAAGAATGTAACATGTAGCTCGTAATACGTAATACGAAGGGAGTAACATTTAGATTTATCGAAATTCGATTCGTCGTTGTTGACTGAAAAAGGGAAAAAAAAATGTTGAAACCTCGTGTTACAGGGAAGGTAAAAGTAAAAGAGGAAAAGGATGCTTCCTCGATGGCGCCAGGAAGCCCACCGACGCCACCGCACACCCCCCAAAGCCCACCTCGACACAATCCACCCCCGGGTAACCTGTCTCAATCCTGTCAGACGTCGAACGCCAATTCTCCGAATCTGCAGCAACAGCAACAGCAGCACCAACAGCATCAACACCACCAACAACAACACCAGCAACAAGAGTCGAATCAGCAGCAGCAGCAACAACAGCAGCAGCAACAGCAACATCAGCATCATCATCAATCCATTCACGCGATCACCAACACGCCCCTGAGCCAGATCTTGGTCCAGAATCCGGCCCTTGCTCAACTACTGCAACAGAATCCCGCTATTCTGTCGCAGAATCCGCAATTGGCGCAGTTGCTGCAGCAAAATCTTCAAGTTCAGATGGGCAGCGTCCTTTTCCAGAACGTGAGGAGGGAGGAACCTGAAGAATCGAGGGTGAGTCAGTCGAACAAATTAATTAGACGGGAAGGGTCCCTTTCATCTCCCGCGGACCGTTTCGCCGTTTCCCTCGCCTCTCTCTCGCCCTCGTGACGGAAATGGATTGTTTCGTTTCCTTTTTCCTCCTTTTCCTACGCTCGTCCCTCGCCTCGGATACTTAACGAGAGGAACGCGTCGTTCACGATGGA